ATTATGTTTAAACGCAAAAGAAATCGTTACGTTGATCACGATTCACAGAGCACAATCTGAAGATGTTTGCCGTATGAACGCCGCGGACTCTCTCCTTAGTCCTTACAAGTTACAACTGACCACGACCGACAGTCGGCCTCGCCAGCAGTTTTTCCCTCCGAACCTCAAGGTTGAGTGGAGCCTGTGGCTCAGTGGCTGGGCAGTGAGCACCCCTTAACTAATGAGTAGGTATGCAGAATAAAAAGTTTGCAGACCATATCAACTCCGTCTTTCTCACCGATTCGACACTTCGACACACGTCTTCTCACCAATAACACTGGAAATGCAGTGTAAAAATGTAGAACAGTCAGTTTAATTCAAAAGATGGCTTCAAATCTAATCACGAAATATAGAATACTTTGACGCTCACTGTTTGAAATTCTTGCGCCGTTCTATGTTTAATGACTGCTAACCGTCGAGCAGCAGCATAATATAAAATAATTCAGCGTAATATTAAAAAGATCTAGGTTTCCACATAAATAACATGTCTTATCAATATAGAAATTATTTCAATGTCAAATTAGTAAATTAATTGGAAAATTCAATTGAAAGATATATCGCTGTGATGAGATGGTGATTTTTGATCATCTCATTAGTGTTAGACGAGAAAGTGTGATAGGGTGCAAATAAACGTGAAATTTTTTTATTGAGCGACGCAAATTCCCTCAATCACATTTTGAGCCAACACCTGTGTGCAACTTTTATGTAAGTAAAAAATTTTTACTACAACAATTTTTATTGCTACAGACCTTAGAGGCTTAGATGAGGTACTTTAAAAAAATACGCGGGGCGATTAGTTGTGTCTACTAGTTTTGCAGGCTGAGTGCCTATAGACGAGTATAGTGTTTTCGGTACACTGTGCCCGTGTCAGTGCGAGGTTGGGAGTTGTCGAATAATTGTGTGCACGATGCAGGCATGCGAGAGCTCGACAGCAGTGCGCGCTACAGTGGGCAAGAGAGAGAGCGACGCAGTTATACTCAGTATGACGGCCGGGCCGCTACTGAGTCGGTACTGACTACTGAGTAGGCGAGCTGCGAGCACTGAGCACAGTCAGCACAGTGCATACTAGAGTGACTAGAATCTAGATTCTAGACCAATGGTTCCCAAAGTGGGCGATATCGCCCCCCTAGGGGCGGTGGAAAGATCTTGGGGGCGGTAGGGAGGCGGTAGTCTGAAGAGACTGTTAGAAGTTCGAACGTTTGTTTGACGATTTGTACACAACACGTGCAGCACACGACACCCAGCGATGGTTTTTTTTTCACCCAGATCTGTTTTTTAACCTCTCCTGGGTTTTCGTCTCTGACAAATTAACGGCCGCACTCGCAGCCGGTCTCACGGTAGCTAAATTGAATTATTCACTAAAGACAGACAGAAACATAGTGATCGGCAGGACAAATTTGGTTGGTTAAGCAAACACACAATTAATTGATAAGTTGATTTATTGGCTTAGCTCATGTGACCTGCTCGATGTGACGATGCAGGAGGAATTGGTTGCCCGGGCAGAAGGTGCAGGTCGACGGGCCACCGTGGTTGCGTGGTGAGACGTTGTGGACATTATTCGATGCACGTTGCGAGGTTGACGAAGTTAACTGAGCGTGCGCGTTGAGGGTTCACACGAAATTTCACTGAACGTGCGTTGATGCAACTCACAGAGTATGTCTAGCGAAAGTTCTCTGAATAAGTTCACTGAATGAATTAACTGAATTAGTTCACAGCAAGTATTAACTGAATATTCGCGGAGAAGCGTCTGCACACAGGGACGGCGATGCTGATTGCGGGTTGTGTTGTGTTTCGTTGCAGGATACAGGGCNTCTTATATGATTATTCTGGGAGATATGCTAATTAATGTTGGAAGGTTCGTGTTCTATTTTCTAATAACTATTTCGCTTTTCAACCCCTGTCTCTTATACACATCTAGATGTGTATAAGAGACAGTACCTACCTTGATGTCTCAAGAACTGTGGGACACAAATTAGATAGTGCCTTCCTTATTGGCAAAGGTGGTTCAATAGGACTAAAGGAGCACTTAGTCTTAGAGCAGCGGCCAGCCTAGCTTGCAAAGGTCCAAACTCCAAAGGAAAAGAGCAGGTGCCTTCGTCTCAAGACAAAGACACACTGCTCAGTGCTCTCCTTCCGCCGATTATGGCGCGACATCGTCTAGGTTGAAATTATGATTCTGTTGAATGATTCCTAAGTTTTCCTAAATACGAAGCAACAAGATACTCGACTTTCAAAATTAGATATTCTGGCTAGGCAACTCACTTGAACTCACCAACCGTGACCAACGTCTGTCGTCGACCGCAGCTCAAACCGGAATCGTTTCAGGCTTCAGAAGTTCAGCGAGTCACACCGCAAGCTTACAAGTTACAACTGACCACGACCGACAGTCGGCCGCGCCAGCAGTTTTTCCCTCCGAACCTCAAGGTTGAGTGGAGCCTGTGGCTGGGCAGTGAGCACCCCTTTAACTAATGAGTAGGTATGCAGAACAAAAAGTTTGCAGACCATATCAACTCCGTCTTCTCACCAATAACACTGGAAATGCAGTGTAAAAGTGTAGAACAGTCAGTTTAATTCAAAAGATGGCTTCAAATCTAATCACGAAATATAGAATACTTTGACGCTCACTGTTTGAAATTCTTGCGCCGTTCTATGTTTAATGACTGCTAACCGTCGAGCAGCAGCATAATATAAAATAATTCAGCGTAATATTAAAAAGATCTAGGTTTCCACATAAATAACATGTCTTATCAATATAGAAATTATTTCAATGTCAAATTAGTAAATTAATTGGAAAATTCAATTGAAAGATATATCGCTGTGATGAGATGGTGATTTTTGATCATCTCATTAGTGTTAGACGAGAAAGTGTGATAGGGTGCAAATAAACGTGAAATTTTTTTATTGAGCGACGCAAATTCCCTCAATCACATTTTGAGCCAACACCTGTGTGCAACTTTTATGTAAGTAAAAAATTTTTAGTACAACAATTTTTATTGCTACAGACCTTAGAGGCTTAGATGAGGTACTTTAAAAAAATACGCGGGGCGATTAGTTGTGTCTACTAGTTTTGCAGGCTGAGTGCCTATAGACGAGTATAGTGTTTTCGGTACACTGTGCCCGTGTCAGTGCGAGGTTGGGAGTTGTCGAATAATTGTGTGCACGATGCAGGCATGCGAGAGCTCGACAACAGTGCGCGCTACAGTGGGCAAGAAAGAGAGCGACGCAACTATACTCAATATGACGGCCGGGCCGCCACTGACTACTGAGCACTGAGCAGTGAGCTGCGAGCACTGGGCACAGTCAGCACAGTGCAGCACACGACACCCAGCGATGTTTTTTTTCACCCAGATCTGTTTTTTTTAACCTCTCCTGGGTTTTCGTCTCTGACAAATTAACGGCCGCACTCGCAGCCGGTCTCACGGTAGCTAAATTGAATTATTCACTAAAGACAGACAGAAACATAGTGATCGGCAGGACAAATTTGGTTGGTTAAGCAAACACACAATTAATTGATAAGTTGATTTATTGGCTTAGCTCATGTGACCTGCTCGATGTGACGATGCAGGAGGAATTGGTTGCCCGGGCAGAAGGTGCAGGTCGACGGGCCACCGTGGTTGCGTGGTGAGACGTTGTGGACATTATTCGATGCACGTTGCGAGGTTGACGAAGTTAACTGAGCGTGCGCGTTGAGGGTTCACACGAAATTTCACTGAACGTGCGTTGATGCAACTCACAGAGTATGTCTAGCGAAAGTTCTCTGAATAAGTTCACTGAATGAATTAACTGAATTAGTTCACAGCAAGTATTAACTGAATATTCGCGGAGAAGCGTCTGCACACAGGGACGGCGATGCTGATTGCGGGTTGTGTTGTGTTTCGTTGCAGGATACAGGGCTGTAGGTTGCCGGGTGCAGGTTGCCGAATGTTAGCCGATGTTGTGATAGCGAGATGTTGACAGTTCGATGTCTGGGGGCAAATAGGCCATTAACACGTTTCCTGCGACGGCTCTTTTGCTGCTATGCACGACACCTGCGATGTGACCCACCGGTGGGTCCCAGTCTTCTTTCCATTGTTGCGATGTGACCCACCGGTGGGTCCCACTTTAATTTTTTCTTCCTTTTATAATTTGCAAAAAAATATAAGTCTATATTGACTACGCGTTATATATGTGTCCTAGTATTACTATATAAAGGCTGTCTCTTATACACATCTAGATGTNTGTCCTAAACCTGTCTCTTATACACATCTAGATGTGTATAAGAGACAGACCTCACTCCGAGCTATCTCAGATGCAACTGAAGTTATCGTACATATACCACCGTCGCAACAGGAGAATAGCATCGATATTGGCCGTCGCCGTACACGTAACAGTGGTGACCCACCGGTGGGTCACATCGCAGGAAACGTGTTAAGATTTTGAGAAGCTATAAAGGAAGGGAGGCGTCGGCTGTTGCCAAGGCGGAAGTGAGATTTTTCTGAACTATTCATACAATGATTTTCTACTTAGGTATCAATACGATAAGTAAAAGTAATGTAATAGAAGTACTGTTAAGAGTATTAATATTAATGTTAGTATGAGAAACATAAAAATTAGTTCTACATAGCGAGATATGTTATACATAATATTAGCTCTATGTAGCCAGATCCGCTACAATATGGCCTAGGACGAGTGAGGTTGTTGAATCCATGGTTGAATTAATACAAGGTTGACCCACACAATTTTTTTTAATATCATTTCAAATATGGCACAAAAACAACGTGTTGATCTCCACTGTTTACATTTTTGGCCCACGTTGACGTCACACGAGACATGCGCAGAACGGCGAAAAAATCGTCGTCGCCGTGGGTCAACCTTGTATTAATTCAACCATGGGCGCGCAGTTGTGCCGGATTGGTCTGATAATTTCGTCTGTCTCGGCGCCACTCGGCCACTGCAGGCGGGTTTGATGGGCTGCGGGTTGTCAGTGTTCGTTGAGCATTCGTGAGTTGTTGTGTGTCGAGCTGTCCGTGTTGTTTGTGCAGACAAATAAGATATTTGTCTGAATAATGAAGGGAATTCTGTGTGGTTCACAGTTTAGCCTTCGAGATATGCAATATAGTTTATTGCAGGTATCACAACACTTATTAAATCTGTCGTTGTATCCGGTGTGTTGTCAATAAATTTATGTGACAAGTACACTCGTTATTCTTCTCGTGCGAGTTATGTCAGAAGCAAAATATGAATCCTCTTTGCTTTTTTAGAGGGCATGCTGGGCCATGCATGATGGCATTCTTTTTCCTATTATTGAAGACAGCTCGAGAAATATAATAGTGATTTGTTTCAAGTTTGTTCCGTACCGTATTCCAGATATTTTTACGTTCGTGGGAGTCCGGACGATATTTTATATTAAATAATGAGGTGCATTTTGGTTATTCTTGTTTCTATTTCTGCGGTTTGGTCACTTTCACTGAAAAGGGAAAAGCTAAGTAGTGTATCCCCACCCGATGGTAATTGGACTACGCAATGGTATGAGCAGCAGGTAAGTTTACCTTAATTATGTTTAACACTTAGTTTTCAGTTGAAAGGAATCGGAATATCAAGTGACTAACTCTGGGACTTCTATGTGCATGATCTTATTTACTTCAGTCATTCTGTTCTGGTTGCTTGATGTGATGACTTGTGTCCTACTGACAACTGAACCGATAAATTTTTTTCATAGCCTCTAAATTTTATAATCTTTATTTCTTTTCTTTTACTTTTACCGCAATACAAAAATTCAATTGGATTCATTAAACCACAGGTCAATGAAAAGATAATGACTATACTCATCATACTATTTAGATTTGAAATTAATTTCTTTTGAAAGTTTGGCATTTTTATGGCGATTATTGGAGTTAACCGTAATTATCCAAGCACATCGACGTCTAGTTTTTTGTATCAGTTTCGACGCTATAAGCGACACATCAAATTAAGTTACAACGCGCTGTGCGCTGTCAGGTTTTTTAAAACCTAACCACTCCATTTACACAGTGCTTCCAAAACAGTGGATACGCCGGGTCATTCCTTGTGGCGTACACTTTTCGGATCTTGAGCGAATTCTAGTTTTGTATTTTTTCTTCACTAAAATGTGTACTGCCTAACAAAAGATACTCCAGCAATAATTTACGTATTTGTTCTTCACAAAAATGTGTACTGCCTCGCAAAATAATACAATCATTATCGCAGAGCTTTCTTCCTTTTTCTTTACTGATACGATTAAATTCGAGGAAGAAACAATCCAAAAGATCAAATAGAGCTTTCAACTTGTTAAAAGCAAACAGCCTAAAACGGAGTTTGCTCTAATTTAATCCGGCAACCATTTTCAACTGCTGCGACATGCTTCCACCCGTCATGAGGCCTCTCTGTTAAATATTACCTATACGTATTATATACTCGCTCGGATAAAATTATCTAGTACGCGCTAGGGTAAAAGGTTACTGTTGATGTTACTGATAATTATCTTCTCATCGGTTGCGGCAATGTACGTCCGAAGTACGTGATCAAATAAAGTTAGGTAAAACCTAATTTAAGTCATAATTTAATTCATGCTAGGCATGAAAAATGTGGCGACAGATGGCTTGTCGTTATGTAAAATTTAAAGTGCGTTGTTAGCTCAGTCGCAACCAGATGAAAATTGACGGCGCTCGATTATTCGCGCATAAGTGGAGACTCAAATGTGGATTTAAAAAAATAATAATGGACTGGTAGGATTGGAAGGCGTCTATTTCTTGCCAAAATTTTTACCTAACACTTTCAATTTCATGATGTTATTTTCTGGTTTCAAAGATTATCTGCGATTCATTATTTATTTCAGCTGGACCACTTCAGCTATGGAGTCCAGCAGCTGACGTTCATGCAGAAATATCTTGTGAACATTGACCACTGGAACAGAACAGGAGGACCTATCTTCTTCTATGCCGGCAACGAAGGAAGCATCGAACTCTTCGCCCTCAATACGGTTAGCAGAAGCTTGTATTCTTTTGACATGGAAACACAATATGCTGAAACATCTGTATAACTCATAACTGATTCCTGATATTGCTTTGTTTCACTATCAATGATAGGATATTCAGACAATTCTTCATTGACTTGCGCTAATTGCTTAATTTCGGAACGTTTTTTTCCATGATGCCAGTTTTCTCGACGTATATATATATATTACTTTATGCTACGCTTTGTGACACATCTTTCCTCCCCGTGCATGCAGAGAAATGGGTGATAATTAATTAGTCCAAATGGCGATTTTTTTTTGCTTATGTGTGACTCATCTTGACCCAGTTTGGCTCATCGAAAAGGACGTATCAGTGCTACATCCCCGATTTCTGCTCGCTCTGATTATGAGAAAGTGTATCAATATTTCGACAATATGACCCATTATTTTTCTCTGATTGTGTACTGACTCCTCAGGGCTTCATGTTCGAGATCGCGCCGGAGTTCGGGGCGATGGTGCTGTTCGCCGAACACCGATACTATGGATCCTCGATACCTTTCGGGAAAAATGGATACGTCGTAAGTCATGATGACGTTTGGCGACACATGCGAATTTGAGAATTGGTTGGAAATGATGTCTGTTTGAATATTAAGGAGAATTTAATCTTGTTGACGTTGAAAAGTGCTTTCTGTTATCAGTTTTAGTAACAGTATTTTATACAAAGAAGCAACCCTTTACAAAGACTTAGTTTTATAAGAGCACAACAACGCACACCAAGTTGCATTAGACAGGAAGTTTGTTTGAGCACGGCTAGCGTGGGTGCTTGAGCGTCGCTCGAAATGCCCTTCAGTACACATACTCGGCGAGAATAGTGTAGTATTTTTGAGTGTGATTGTTGTGAATGTCGAGTAATAAATTATCTCAGTACTTTATCCTGTAATAGTATAAATCATTCTCAAATATTTGTATCGATTTTTAATACATCAACAATCAACAACGTGAAGTTGCATATTCTGTAATAAACTGATGTGACGTGAACCTGTTTTCCCAATCGTGTGTAACCACATATTACTATTTATGAATTGTATTTACAAAAAATATAACTCACTACTCAATGCAGTGAGTGACAGACATTTTCTCGTCGACGAAAACGTGGTCACGGACGGACAGACGGACGGACATGATGAGCACAATAGCGCCTTTTTTCCATAAATGAGAAAATGCGCTAAAAAGTTTTCCCTCTGATCGACAATTCAAATAGAATGTCTTCCCCCTGCTCAATGCATGCCTCGTAATATTCGTGTTTCGAAAGAAACGCGCCATTTTTCATTCGTCGGAGTAAAGTTCCACCGTGTTTTTTAGCACAAGCAATACTACCAGTACCAGTCTTCGATGCAAGCTCTGGCCGACTACGTCGAGCTGCTAGCTCACGTTCGCCAGACCTACGAAGGAGCTGAGAAGAGCCCAGTGATCGTGTTTGGTGGATCATATGGAGGCATGCTAGCGGCGTGGATGAGGATTAAGTATCCGCATGTCGTGCAAGGGTGAGCCTTCCATGGCATTTTATACAAGATATTTTCAATATATTGATTCTGTCTCGCGAAACTCAACCGTTTTCAAGCTCTCGTTGAATTAGAAAATAATTTCCGAGAAAATTTTTAGCTTTCGCTTGAGAGGAGGCATTTATCCGTGCATTATTTAAAAGCAGGACTTAGAAATTATTGGGAAGGGGAAGATTATGGAACATGGGCTTCAAGCCTAGGTGATCTATGGCTGGCTATATGTCATTGCTGGCGACTTGTAATTGGTGCGATGCCGCGTAAAAATTCTAATGGACTGGTAACTCAAGTAACAAATTATCAGCGACCACAGTTTTAACCTATATTTTCAAAATTTATTTATTGCTGTGGAGTCATCTCGTGGCACTTGATATTGAAATCATGTTTATCTACTCCTCAGTCGATACGTACCGGTATTTGGCATGTTGGATTCCCTCTCTAACATTACAGACTTATCCTTATCATACAGCCTGAAGAGCAGCACAAAATGGTCATGCTATTTAGATATACTTAAGCATGATACATATTTTCTGTCAGTACTCACGTCAAAAAATTGACTTCGCAGAGCCATCGCTGCATCGGCGCCAGTAGCGCAGTTCACGGGCCTGACGCCGTGCGAGAAGTTCGGTCAGGTTGTCACCCACACCTTTGCACTTCAGGGACAAGAATGCGTGCAGACAATACGCAAGAGCTGGGATGCCATCAATAAAATGGCCGCCACTGGTGAGACGTTTGGGCCATTTAAACAATAATCTTTCATATTTTAAAAGTAAAACTATCGATCATGGATAAATATATATTTTGAATTAGTATTAGGTGGTAGAATTTCCTTGTTGAAACATTTACGATTGAAACACGCACCAGAGAATACATTATATTCTAATTTTCAGGGAATCTCTGAAAACTATCTCAAATATAATAATCTATCAAATCAAATATACAATAATATAATATCTCTGAAAACTCTCTCAACTATCAACGTTGACTCTGAAAACTATCTCAAAGTTCAGACAATATAGATGTGGGTTAAGCTATCGTCGGCCGGCAATTCCAGCTAATAAATTTTGCTTCAAAGAAGGTCGTAGACTTCATTATTCGGACTACACTGCAGTAATTGGACCAACAACTACGACATCGAGTTTTACAAACAAGCAACTTCATCTCAAAATCATCGATGAATTCAACTGGCTTGGTTATACCCTTGACAACAACGTCAAGCTCCGGACTGCACGCAGCAAATGCCTGCAAAAAAATCTCTAGTTCCCCAAAGAAGCCGATGTAGTCTGTAAATTTTGCTTTAAAGCTGGTTGTAGACTTCATCATTTGGACTGCATTGGAGTTATTGGACTAACAACCACGAAATTGCGACCGTCTCACCTGCCGCCTACAGTCTGAAGGACAGGGGAACCTCCTGAGACAAGCTTACAAGGCCGTCGCTCGCACTGAGCTGGAGGAACCCACCAGCATCGTCATCATGCAGTGCTGGAGGAACCCACCAGCATCGTCATCATGCAGTGCTGGAGGAACCCACCAGCATCGTCATTATGCCGTGGCGCCCAATATTAACAGACCTACGAATGCTGGAACCCTCATCTTTGGAGATTTGACTCCAGCATCTGCTTTCAAATAACCGGAATGGTCTGAACTTTGAGATAGTTTTCAAAGTTATTTCCTGTTTCAAAATTTTCGTGTTTTGTTCTATTTACGTGTATCATGTACAAAGTCTCATTATTCTTTTTATAACTTGAAAATTATTGTTGATACATTCGAAACGTCGTTAAATATGTTATTCTGTAAGTACTTGCTAAGACCTGCCTTTTGATCTACCGTATTAACGCCATCTAAAAAATTTTCTGACTTCCTGAAAATATGAATATAATGCATTCTCTGGTCATTAGTCACACGTGTTTTAACAAGAAAATATATATATATATGTGCCCTGTCAAACTGAAAAAATGTATGTCGTGCTCAATAAAAGATTTTTATATTCCTGCAGTAATTCAATTCTATTTGAAAAGTGAAGACTTGATAAATTTGCCTATTTTCATAAGCAAAGAGAGACATCCATGTCTCATTATAGCGATAAAACTTTAATGTGAATTTTGTTAAAGAACGAAAAGTAATTCTTATGAACAATTTTATTTAGTTGTAGTAGTAGTTGATTTAGTAAACTTTGCTAATAAGAGTATATAGAAATTCGAATATAATATTTACCAAGGGACATTTTATTTAATTATATTTACCCACTTTTAAAGCTTTTAAAACTTGCCTAGAATTTAATTCGCAATATTGAGAAAAACAATTAGAAAATTGTTAATAAGAATTTATCTCTGGTATTCAACAAAACCTGCAACAAAGAACAACGGCCTAACTCCCAAAAAACACATTAATGGGAAGTTACCTCAATGTTATTCGTGATATTCTTATCTGTCGATTTTGTAAAATAATTTTTGGTGTATTAGTATAATCAGTAGAATTTTCTTGTGGGAACAGCTGAAGGTCGCGCGTGGCTGAGCGACGCTTGGCGGTTGTGCAAGCCTTTGAATTCTACGGATGACGCTAAAAACCTCAAGAGTTATCTCTCTGATGTGTGGACCAATCTCGCCATGGCAGACTACCCTTACATGGCTAACTTCTTGGCTCCTCTGCCGGCCTATCCCGTCATGGTAGGGAAGTCGTGTAGTAGCAAAACACAGACTTTTTTCGATTCTTCCTGAAGTTAGATTTTGAGTCCTATAAGTACACACGTAGACTATCATAGATACCAGCGTTATCATATCATATGATATAGGTATATATTGAATAAAGTGTTGAACTAGATCGGGGAATTGTAAATGAACTGGACTCAGAAAATTTTTTTTACACTATTATTAGTCAAGAAGATGTGGTTGTTCATGTATGAAGGACTGTCTGAGCAACAACTTTTGGTATAAATATATAGACGTTCAAAAGGATACGTTTATGTTGAATGTTTATTTTCCTGGAAGATGAGTCTCATTGAAAATACTCTCAAAGATTGCAAGTTATGACTTACTTTAATAAGTTTTTTTGGCTTTTATTATTTAATTGTAACTTCAGATAATGAAACCTACTAACATTATTTTGTTTTTGCACAGGCGGTATGCCAGCCTATGAAGTTCTTGAAGGATGAGCCGAAGGAAATTTTGCTGGAAATTTTTGAAGGCCTCAGTGTTTATTTCAACTACTCGACCACGGCTACTTGCCTGAGTTACGAGTCTTCTATGCCCTCCTCTCTCGACGACAACGGCTGGTTCCTCCAGGTTCCTTGTCGTTTAGATAGTATCTTATAAAGGATAGTATATATCATCTCCCTTATCTTAATCCTATACATCGTTTGGCCATTCTCTAATTTATGAGCTAACTTAGCTCCTCATAATATATCCATTTCGTAGTAGAATTATTTCTAATTTTAACGAAATTATATTCAGGTTGAGTTACACTTTAAAGCTAGAAAAATTCATACACAAAAATTATTTTATTTCTAACGGTCTTTCATCTGTCAGAGCTGCACGGAGATGGTGATGCCCATGTGTTATGACGGCAAGAATGACTTCTTCGAGCCACAGGCCTGGAATTTGACAGAGTTCAGTGAAACTTGTGTAAAGAAATGGGACGTTCGTCCTGAACCTTACAAGATGGAGCAAATGTACGGAGGACGTAACCTCAAGTACGCCAGCAACATCGTCTTCAGGTGAATTCAGTTAAATTATTGAGTATTGACTAGTAATAGAAAAAACGTTACGGCACCTTAATAATAAAGTTAAGAACTAAAATTTTATATGTCGTTTACTGGCCTTACAGATTTTCAATTAAACACTGATATAATTTGAGTTATATTTGACTTTTGCACATAACATCTATTTATTAGTCTTATAGGCTTATATAAAAAAATATTAAATGAATGAGAATCATTTTGAACAAATTGATTTGACACCTAACGACAATGAATTAATAAAATGTCATATGGATATGACATTGTGTTTGTAATATTTAATTGTGTATAAAATTTTAACCTCTCAAAGCAATGTGGCTAAGCTTCAAGATTTTTTTTTTCAGTTGAAAGAATTTTCAAATCTACTTTACTTGATGTGTACCAAGAAGTTTCCACAATGAATATCATTTGAAGCTAATTTTATGAATTTTTCTACAGCAACGGCCTCCTAGACCCTTGGTCATCAGGTGGCGTCCTGGAAGATGTCAACGAGTCCGTGGTGTCGGTGATCATCCCTGAGGGGGCGCATCATCTTGACCTGCGATCTTCAGAACGCGCAGATCCTAAATCCGTGATACAAGCGCGAGATGTCCACAAGGCCAATATCCTCAAGTGGATATCGGAATATAGCAACAGTGTTTAAAATACAGCAGGATATGCTGCAGTGGATATTGTTCACTGCAAGGGATATTGGCATGATCATTGATATGATGCTCGAGAGGAAAGGTTATACAATGGTATATAACCAATCGTGTAGTAAGAGTTTTGAATATGTGTTATGGGTAGGATACTCCTAATCCTAACAATTTTTTCGATAAGAATTCGGGTTTAAAATTGTATTGATGTGGCTGGAGTACATTTTATGCGAATCCTCCATAAATAAGATCGATTGTAGAGAGAAAATCGTTAAGTGATTATTATTCAGACTCTCAACTCGCTTCCAAAGTAAAGTTTAAACAACTCGCACCTCGTAATCGATGGTTCGAAATGCTCTCATATTTTGGTTGTGCCAAATTCTGCTCTGGACTTAAGATTTTTTAGCATCATGAATCCTTCCGATAAATACGCGTCATAGACGTATTCCGACACCTGGACGTGGAGCAAAATAAAACAGAAGCGTATTATGTGTTGTAGACACTTTCAATGATGGGCGATTATCATTTCATTTTAAGCAATAGTAGCAATTTCATCCATTAATTGCAACTGTTTTAACTTGATAAGTTTTCTAGGTAGAATTCGATGGATATCTATCTCGAGCTTTGTAGTTGTGCTGAAAATCTGAATACATTTTAGTTTCAATATACATTTAGCATAGCATACATTTAGTTTTAGCATAGCGTATATGGGATGGTTTGATGGGATTTTTTATTTAACTCTCGAGTGATCCTACTTAACCACAGTCATCTTTTACACGTTGTCTACCTTACATACTCCTGAAAAAATGTACAATAAAAATAAAAAGTTATTCGAGTCAATGTTTATTTACTGCACAAATAGTTTTATGTAAAGAGCATACGTCATTCGGCTACTTTTGGAGATTTTCGAGATAGACCTAAGCTGACGACCAGGGAGAGCAAAGCTTGAATGCCGAGCAAAACCATTGCACTTGCTACAATAATAGTTTCGATCTTCAAAATGTAAGTTTGCCATAGCAAAAGGTAAACAAGAACCGTGCATGCAGGGGCGCTAAGTATCGTTGAAACGAATACATAAAGAGTTTTCTCTGTTAAATTTCCTCTTTCACCACTTGCAATACGACCAAGTTCGATGATAATATATAATAGAAGCAGTAACGCTTCAGAAACGATGCTACCATAGGGATACGGTAGATAATTGACTTTGAATACAAGAAGTAGAATCTCCGCCAACACAAAAGCAGGAAGAAACCATTTGCTCATTGAAAGTAATATTTGAAACGGGAGTGACGATTGAGATTCGTCCATGATGTAAGGAAAATTTGTGGACAGTGGTAAAAAAAACTAGACAAAATATCGTTTTGAATACTTCACTAAAAATTAAAAAGCCGATTTTAATTTGACTATGAAAAGGTAATGTGGTAATGTAATTTGACCTATATAGTTATTATTAAGCGGAAGGACGAAGTTAGTTGGCACGTCGTGGTCTTGGATTGTATCCTATTCTAGCTTCAATCATGTCTTTAGTCCTGGCCGAATCTAAGGGTTCCTTGTTTAGCTCGGTCTTGGCTTCTGAAGTAGTAGGCCGATCCTTGGCGTTCTTCACATTTTCAAGCTCTTCCAAGTCTTCTAGTTTTATTTCAATCTTGGTCAGGTCTCTCCGGAGCATGTTCGAAAGTCTGAAATTGGAAGAGATAACTGGTGAAAGCATATGTTGTAAAAATTATTGCAGAATAACATTCAAAAGATAGTACATCTGCGTAGATGATTTGATGATGCCATCAACTGGATCAGTGGTGAAACAAAGAAAGTTGCCAATTTTACACGAAAGTTAACAAGTTTTTATATGAAATCTATCATGGTTGACCAATTCTGTTTGATTTCATTCTCATCACAAATACTGTTTGTGAAGATTATTATATGTTACTGATCAAGATAAAGAAAATTAATATAAAATTTTACCTTAATTTTGATTTTGCTGAATCTACAAAAAAAAACTTGTTTTGAAGCAAGAATTTACATCTCATCGATTTTTGTTATCAGTACTATGTACAGGTACTTAGAAGATGCTGGATTAATTAATAAGGAGTCATCTAGGAAGAGTTTCTTGAAAAACAAGTGATCCGAATTGACCCAACACAATGTTGCTTCAGAAGAAATGTACAATTGAACAATTGTTGCTGTAGCATCACATGACTTATAATTAATTTAGATTTCTCAATTAATTGTGGCTGTAAAAAGTGTAAATCAATTAACGCAATTTGATTTTAAATCCAATCAATAGTCATTCAAACAAGAACTATCAGCAGAATTTTACCACAGAAGTTCAATAAGGAATAAAAAGAATAGTATCATCAAGTACATCAACTGGGGTGACTTTGGCCACCATTTATGGAGCATAACCATGCAGCAAAAGGCATCATGTAATAGTCTATCATAAATGTTGGTACATGCCTTTTAATAGTCTCTAATCATGTGTATCATAAATCATACATGTAATAGTCCATCATAAAATGTTGGCCAAAGTCACCCCAGCTTATAGTATAGAATGTTAGAAAGAACCATGAAAAGGATCTAATTTTGCTCACCCTCACTTAGGGAATTAGTGTTGTCACAATTTAATACAAAATAACTAATTCATTCTGACAAACACAGAACATCTTCCTGGCTTCAATAAATTCACTCAAATTCCAAGAAACTTCATGCTAGTCTCATTGGAACATAATTGCAAGTTTATTACCTGATAGTAGTATTCTTACTTCAATAAGCATGCATGCATACTAGCAGAATACACTGTTGATGCTAAAGCTATCAAATTCCATCAGCTGAGATTTAATGACTTCCATGAACTTAGGGTCATTGTCAGGAAGATCTGCAAGAGTGTGGGAATAAACGTTGCTAAACTACTAATTTCTATTGTGATAAAATTAGTTGAAAAATATCATCTTAATTTTAGTACAGTAATGATTGTTTGCTGCTGAATTGGACAAGCAAATTGGCAATAGATGGTGTTTTATTTTTGGAGATTGTGGTGTGTTCCAACAAGCATTTTACATGCAAAAATTATGATTTCAAATTGGCAAAGTACCATAGTCCACTACAAATGAACAGAAATTTATAACAAGAAGAAATTTAAAAGCATCAATAAAAAATAAAACAATTAAAGCAATGGTAAATTTTTTGTATAGAAGCTGTCAAAAATTGCATGGTATTTTGAAGACTTTCCTTGGTATAAATGCATAGATGACAAATATTGATGATCAATATTTGTTGATGATCAAATGAGTGACGTGTATGAGTAGAGCTGCCACTGCCATGCACTTACCTATATCAAAACACATCCTATTCAAATAGTCCTAATGTAACACAAAGATAAAATTCCTTTTGAACAGAAATTTTGAAGAATTCATCAATTATTAATGAATTCTGCAAAATTTTAGTCTATAATTCATTTTGAAGTTATAATAATAATTCATCAATAATTGATGAATTCTTTAAAATTTCAGTTTACAATGCATATTTTTTCTTTGTCTTACATTAGGTCCATATTATGTATTTTGGTGCAAGTGCATGGCAGTGCCACAGTGGCAACTATACATACATGTCACTCATGTCAGCTAGAGATGAATAACATATCTAATTTGAAGCCATGACTAAATTTATGAGTCAATGATTGAATCAACTTAGTAGCCATATATACATTCTTTCTATTCATTTTATTTAAATGATGCAAACTCTTATACCAAGCCATATTATGTCAAATTAAACGGGAAAATTGGGCAGCAGCCACCCTTTAATGAGACAGACTTTTATGCTTTCAAATAATTTCACCCCATTTCTATTGTGCTTGCTCAATTTTTTTTGGTAAAGTAATAAAAATTGTACATTTTTGCTCACAATTTTTGAAAATCACTGGCAAAATAATTATTTTCAACCTGCATTCTGACCAGTATTCCAGGTTAGATATAAAATTGCTATTTTAATTTTTTAAACAATTATCTATGCTATAGTCAGATGGGGTAAGACAGGACCGAAATCACTAACAAGCCCGTAGCATCTATACCATGAATAACTAAAAAATCCTAAACCTATCACAAGGTGTATCTATGTAATGGGCTTCTAAGCTACAACTCTGACATTTTGCATCTAACATAATTTTCTGTACAGATTAAAAAAAGTGAGCTGGTCCCATCTTACCCCATTGGGGTAAGATGGGACCAGGCTGGGGTAAGACAGGACCAACTGTTTATTCTTATGTTACAAGGTTTTTAATAAAAGTACAAATCTGATATTCAATATTATCCATCTAGAAACACATTATTCGATTAAACAACCACTTGTTACTGTTTTGTGTTGCAGGAAGTCAACTCTAATATCAGTCACATTGAAGTTTTTGTCACGAGAAAACTTTGTTAAGCATAATAAAGGTGGGTTGGCTTTGGTTCATTGTAGAGCACTGCTAAATGCGTCCTGTATATTCCATTACCTAGTGTCATTGTCTGAAAAATTTTTCACATTGGTAATAAAACCAATGGATAATAACTTGAGTGTCAGACATCATGAGTTTTCTTGCTAACTGCATTTGTGGTGCACTTCTTCAAACATAGCTCATGCCCTGTCACAGAGTTGTGATCATAATTATTTTTCATGTTTCACACAATGATTTTCTCCCCAGCCAATCTTGCACATAGTTCTGCAGGTCAATAATGGGAAGTGACATCCCTATTTTCTCCATCCCTTTGATGCAATTTAAAATAGTGCACTAAATTTCTCTAATTAAAAGAGCTAACAAGTTGCAGTTTGAGCCAAAGATAAAAATTTTGACCAAAATACTCCATGTACTGACAGTGACTGCACAATAATATAGGTATTCATTTAAAAACTATTTTGATAAACTGTAGGGTAATAGAGGACCATTTGTGGGGTAAGACAGGACCATATGTGGGGTAAGATAGGACCGTTTGTGGGGTAAAACAGGATCATTTAGTGGTCCTGTCTTACCCCATGTCCGGTCCTTTTTTACCCCATTGTATAATACATGTCAGGCAGTAATGGTAGCAGGTAGGAATGTCTAGTATGTCTCAAAAGTTGCTTATTACTTGAGGTTACCTGCCTACATTCACAAACCTGGCCAAAATTTTTTTTTTATTAGACAGAGCTTACTGGTATTTCCCAAGCAGGGTTAACTATTTTGTGACCCTTCGTTACATAGGTTTTCTTTAAAAATTAGCCAGAAATCCATTATTTGCAGAAGAGGGTTGCCACAAACACTGAAATGACAGGCAATGATTGCTCTAACATATTCTTTTGTCAAATTGAATTCAGTGCAATTAGAATGCACGCCATGGGCTGGTCCTTTCTTACCCCATGAAGGCTGCGATCCTGTCTTACCCCATTTGACTATATATCATACATTTGAAAAAATATCTATCTTGATGACTAAAGATATTTTGTCTTTTGAAAGTTCTAAGATTTCCAATAAATGGATTATCTTTGATCAGTGATAAGAATAATTGGCCTACTATTCACTGTTGACTGTTAGTATTAGGCTTTGTGGCTCATGACTCCATTAGCACGATTAGGAATTAGGATTAGGGAACTTGATGCCAATGTGAATCATTGTAAACAATTTATTAATATAAAACTATAATATTTCAAAAAGCACACAATATAGTATAACAATTGGTTACAGAGCTACTAATAAAAATGAAGTAGTTAAAAACCAAAAATATTTAACTTTTTAATAGAAGAATGACAATATTGCTAATTAGTTCAAGATGAAGATACCCTACCATGATTAGGATTATAGTCAGATGGGGTAAGACAGGACCAAAATCACT